TTTTTTTTTTTTTTTTTTTTTTGGTGTTTTTTGATTACGTTTGACACATTGAAAAAAAATATTAGAAAAAACAACAAACAACAATCATTTGAATCGGGAGAAATGAAAATTGTATCAAGAATCGATTGTTAGAATAATCGATTGCGACATCGATTGTTTGAATCGATTGTGACATCGATTATTTGGAAAAGTTTCAATTGAATTTAGATATCATCATTATTACGAAATGATGATGATGATGATTTCAAACAGAGAAAAAAAACATCCTTAGCAAATAAGGAAAATTAATTAATTTCAACAACGAAAAAATTGTTCATTAAGATTTTTTAGTTAGTTAATTAATTCAATTATGCTTATCTTATCAATGAATTTCATTTCATTTCATTTCTTTTTTACGCTTGATTTAATGTTTTTCTTCGGAAAATAAAACGACATAACGACGACAAAACGACATAACCTGATTCTATTTTGGCAGGAAAGCAAAAAAAAATTTCCTTTTTTTCTGAATTTCAAGATTCAAGGATTTCCATAAATAATAAACATCATCATCATCATCGATATCATCAGCATTTCAACAACAACAACAACAAACTCAACTCTTTCATTGATTCTGTTGTTGTTTGTTGTTTTTTGTTTGGGTGCACCTTTTGCAATCCACCTGTAATTAAATCGTTTTCAAATTAATTTTTTTTTCAAAAAAATCAAATCAAATCAATCAATGAAATGAAATTATTATCATTCATTTTTAAACGATTCAAAAAAAAAAAAAAACATTGATAACATCATCATTCATTCATGTGAAAGGAAATTGAAGGAAATCTTATACGATGTTTGTAAATATGACAATATATACTTTGACAAATGACAAATTATTAGCTGATAATTTATGAAAATTTTCTTTTCTTTTACTAACTAAACTAAGCATATGTTTTGATTGACAAACAAAACACTCACACCTTGAAAAATGAGCATATCTTTATTCATCATTTTAAATCATCAAATCATTTTCCCATTTGCACCCATTTATAATTAATATTTTTTTTATTTATAATATATACAATCAATCAAATAATAATCATAATCATAATGTTTTTTTTTTATAATATGAAATGGATGGACGATTATTTGAAATAATAATCGATTGTCGGATAAATTTACCCGACAATCGATTATTTTATCGACAACATTATCCACTATTTGATTCTACTAAATTAGATTATCATCAGAGTTTTTATTATTATAGCTTCTGACTCGAATAATCTTCTGTAGTTTTTTTTCGCCGACTTTAGTTTAATTTAGTTTAGTTATCATCAACATCATTATAATTACCATGATTGGTCTGTGATGATCATTATAGAAACACTAAAATTACAAAAAAAAAACAAGCTTCGACTTTTTTCGACTTTTTGACGCCAAAATTATCAACAAAAAAAAACTTGAACTCAAATTCAAGAATAACGAAGATGTTCTTCTCTACCATAGACAGTACAGAAAGATAGACAGATTTTTTTTCGACAAAAAACAAGTTGCCGCCGACGCGGCTTGTCCACCAAAAATCATCGACAACATCGACAAACTTTTTTTTCAACTTTTTTTTTGTTGAAATTGATCGTTGTCGTCGTCTTAGTTACTGTTTACCAAATTAGGAATATAATCGGGCGACAGCGGTCTATCAGCTTTGTTCCTAATTTATTCTATTAACTTGATGAATTTTGATTCAATCATCATCATACTGATTATCATCATCATCATCAATTTAGTTAAAATGAACTAAATTTAATTTAATTTAATAAAAAATTTGATTACAACCAAGTAATTCAATCAATCAACGAGGAAAAAAGAAAAATGAAAAATCAAGTAAATTGATACAACGGAAAAATCAAAACTCGGAGAAAAAATCAAAATCAAATTCAATTTTCTTGCGTGTTTAGTAAGTTCAACAAGTAATGTTTTGATATGCAAAAAACCAACCAAATGAATTGAAATATTTGTTTGTTTGTGTTTAATGATCTGGGAGTCATCATCATCATCATCATTATCATCATTGGTGATGCAAATGAAAAAGCAAGAAAAAAACAAATTTTATTCACTTTGATGATGATGGCAGAAACGCTGTATCAAACACACAACAGTTATTATTCAGTAGCAAATGATTTCTTTTTTTTATGATGCTAATAAAATTTAATTCTTTCCTCTTTCCCCTTGCCATTCGTTCGTTTGGCTGGCTGAATCTTCTTTTCATTTTATTTGCAGAAAAAAAACAACAAAATTTCATTTTTTTCCATCGTTGAAGAAATCAAAAACCAAAAACAAAAAAAACTTTGAATTAATAAATAGAAAAATGTTGAATTTTATTTCAGAGTTATCCTTGAATAGCAAAAAGTAAAACGTAAAAGATTTTTTCTGCAAAATCATCATTCATTCATTCATTGTCATCAATCAATCAATCGATCAAATCAATCGATTTGAAATCCATGATCAATGACAAAAATTGATTGAAAAACAAAAGCGAAAAAAACCAAAACTTTTGACAAACAAAAAACTGACCTTAATCTTCTCCTTGTTGTTGTCGCTGTTGTTTATTGTTTGTTGTTGTTTGTTGTTGTTTTTGTTGTTGTTGTTGTTGTTGTTTGTTGTTTGTTGTTGTTTTTGTATCCTGAATTTGCATTTTGATACATTTCAATTGTTGGTTTTTCTGTTTAATCATCATCCATCGATCATCAATCAATCAACGTTTATCATTATTTTCTTGTTGCATTTTAGCTGCTTGTGCTTGTCTTTCTTGTTCATTCAGTTCTTTAATTGCTTGTAATTCTTTTTTCAATTTCATACGACGATTTTGGAACCAAATTTTTATCTGTCGTTCAGTCAGACATAATGCATGTGCCATTTCAATACGTCGTCTACGTGTTAAATAATGATTTGTATGAAATTCTTTTTCCAATTCCAGTGTTTGATATCGGGTATATGTTTGTCGGCCACGTCGCCTTAACCCTGTAGCACCGGCTAATCCTAAATCCAAAAAGTCAAGAAAAAAAACAAAAAATTATAAATTTCAAAACAAAACAAAAAAAACTTTGAAAAACTGAAAAATTTAAGAATATAAAGTGCGCAAGCGCAGTTCATTTGTTTTGTTTTTTTCTCGATTTTGCTACATTATAGTGCCAGAAAATTACAAAATAAAGCACATACTTTCAACATGCTACTACCCACTACCGTCTACCTACGATCATTGACAAAATCTTTTATATAGAACATATCTCGAAACAAACAAACAACGCCCTGTAACAACCAACGAAAAAACGGGCGAAAAAATCCAATTTCGTCAACCCGAAAATCGATTGATTGAAAATATATTGATCAAATTAAACGAAGAAGAAGACGAAAATTTACATAGAATTTTAGAAATATTGTAGCAAAAATGTAAAGAAATTTAAATGTTTTTCTTTCCAGAATATAAGTATCCATCCAGTAAAAAAAAAAGAAGTAAAGAGCAAGCAAAAGAAAATGATCATAAAAAAATTGATGATGATGATGATGATGATGATCATATTTAAACTATCAAAATAAAGAAAATAAAAATGTTTGAACCCCAACTGAAACATTATTTTACGATGTTATTTTATTATCATCATCATCATCATGATCATGGAGAGAGAGAGAGAGAGAGAGGAAAAATGAACTTTTTTTTCCTTACTTCAACGTTAAATAAGAATCCAAAAGTAAGTTTTTTTTTCTTCTCCGGTTTAATCATTCAAATAAGAATGATGAAAGTGAAAATTTTCTTTCATTGGAAAATGTCACGTTTTTTGAAACAGCAAAAAAAAATGTAACTTGATTTGGAACAATGTATCATCATCATTGAATGATCCACGAAAGAATCTTTGAATATTCATCAACGATTTTTCGGGGGAAAAAAAATAGTAGGGAATAACCAAAATGAAATTACCGAATTGAATCAAGATCGGGATCAATCAAGATTTTTACGATCTTTTTTTATTTCAAATTTATTTTCTACTTTGGATACTTGACTGACTGACTGACTGATGATGATCAAATCAACTTGAAAACTAAAAAAAAACTAAAATTCGTAACAAACAAGCAAAAAAAGAAAGATTTTCTGTTCGTTTTATGATGATGATAAACATCGATAAAGCGACGATAACGATGATAACGATGACGACGACAATTCATCCGAATCATTTTAACATTGAAAACAACAACAACAACAACGATAACAACGATAATGACAATGACAACCCGAAAAAAAACAGATCCGACCTTTTCATCATCGTCATTTTAATCATCATCCCCATCATTATCATCAAGGGTTGAATAAAGAAAAATAAATTTAATTGAAAAAAAACGATATTCATGTCGGCTTGTTGATTGACAATTATCATTATCATTGCCATTGTTAATCGTTGTTGATTGTCAAATTATCATCACATCATTAATTGACAAGTAAGAAAATGTTGATAATAATGAAGATCATCAAGGTAAAATTTGTAATTAAAGAACATGCAAACAAAACAAAAAAAAAAGGTAATTTTATCCAGGTAAAAAATGTTGTTACCCGAAAAACAAAAACTAAATACTAACCTGCAATAGCCATCCATGGATAAAATGTATTCGGTCCAGGACCAATACCACCAACCGAATTCATTGCATTTGCATTGCAACATGCAGCCGACCATGCATCAGTTACAGCTGAACGTTGACATGCAGCTGCTGCTGCAGCCGCATCAAACGATGAACGCATTGCCATCGCATCCATACCCGAATTTGACATTAATCCACCAGCACCACTATTTCCACCCATATTTACACCATTATTTTGATTACCATT